GAGCGGAGTAGGCAAAAAGTCACGAATGCTCCCGCACGCTCTGTAGCCGAATGCAGGCAAAGAGGACAAATCACAAAGGCTGTCCAGAGGAAATTGAGAAGCTTCATCCTTGAAAGATCACCGTGTCACAGATGCCAAGATGAACATGAGGTCAGGCGTCCGCGCTACACAAACAGGCTTGCGGAGACATGATGCCGATGGTGGATGATGTTTATGGTGGATGACGATGACCCGTGAGTCCAGACAAGGAACTTCTGATACTTGGGCGCATGGCATCTGCCCAGCTTTGACTTGCTACAGAACTCGAAGGCGCAAATATGTGTTTTCTACTTCCCACCTCCTCGCAGGAGAAGGAAATTTTACCAGTTCTGAAGCCTGTCATCCGCTGTTCTACCTCTAGAGCGGCTGTTGATGCAAGGTTTCATCTCTGCATCTGTTCCTTTCCTGAGTTTTTGTAAAATCCTGCCTGCAATCGCTGGAGCTTCACGTCATGCAATTCATCACTTTCAGTCAGGAGTGGCATCAAATCACATTCCTGTCTCTGGAGTTCTGTGGTGTGACAGGACTGGTTTTGAAAGCGCCTCTCAAGCTGTGTGTGAAGCAGGATGCGAACATGGAAGTTGTCAGAGAGTTTGTAGATCGTGTCTATGGTTCAGCCAGCCAAAGGCTTCTCCGAGTTCATTGCGGCCGGGACCTCGCTTAACCCATTCAGCTGCCGCAAGGCGCGGATTGGAGTAGTCATATCGAGTATGTTCTTCAGTAACAGCGGAGGATTTCAAGCGGTTGCAAGGCGGTCGTCTTTTCACTCTTGACGAACACATTCCTGTTTGGGCTTGTATAGCAACAATGCTCCGCAAAAGAATTGAGGTTGTGGCTATCGTTTTGGGCTTCCTGGCCAGCACTTCGCCTCCTGGAGCAAGGCAGCTGACAATGGGATTATATACAAGAAGTCTCCTTGAGTCCAAGCAGCATCATGCAGCTATTGGGCCAATTAGCCAGCCATCTCCAACTGGAACAGTCAAATGGGAGCAGAACCACAGCGCGGGTGTCTTAGAATCTAGCCCTGCCGATGCATGTTTTCAGCTTTCCAGGGCTGCCTGCCGTGGTGGAACTTCAAGTGCTGGGTGTCAAGGAGGCAGGTCGTTCTCGCGTCTCAGATTCTTTGCATAGCCTGGCCGCAAGGTCTCCGAGGCACAATTGAACATCAGGCGAGCACTTGTCATATACGCGCCCAAACCCGAGACTGTGATAGATTTTCTTGAGTGCTGCTCGCGCATCTCGCGCTCTAAGTTCGCCCAGGCTGTGGCTTCTCGTGTGGAGGGGGAGTGAGATGCAGCTTTCTGTCCTGTGCGGCGCTGGTGTCCTGTGGCAGGCATTTTAACTCATATAACGTGAGCTGAGGAGATCCGTGTTGGGACGATGTTGGCTGTCAGAGTCTCAGGCTAAGTCTAAGTGGATCTGGCGGACAGAGGTGACAGACTTGCATTTTCGGATTCGTCAACGCAGGCTGGAACTGCTTCCCGGCCTCTTGGGAACTCATGGGCTTCATTTTGTTGAACTGCTTCGAGGCGCCATTGTGCATGGCAAGCAGATTCAGATCTTTCCGTGAGTTTAGACTAGGCAGAACCGCCAGCGTGCCTTTGCCATCCACGACGAACATGTTTTTTGCGTTGCTCAGCCGCAAACCGTCTCCAACCGTTCATCTCGACGCATGCATCAGCTGCATCAGCGATTCAGCCACTCCTGAGCTGGCAGTCCCGAAGGAAAGGTGTAGTTGACATCGGGCAGCAACCTCTTCCCCCTTAGTAAAACACCCCGGAGTGCTTATTAAGAATTATAGGGGAGCCCCAATTAAATCTAGTTAAAACCAACTGAGATTATTCAAAATCTCATTGAACGCAAGTAATTTCTGGTTAAGATCTCACTAGACCCAGCTGAAATATGCTTGTTAACATCTATTAACACGCATTTAAATCAAGTAAGATCCAATCACTTGGATTAGGGTCAATCGAAATCAGATTACAATCCGTTTAACATCCAATTAAAATCAATGCAAATCTAATCAACATCTGTTTGCGACCGTAGTAAAGTCATTTGATTTCTATTCAATTTGCATTAGATCTAATTGGAAGCTAGTCAACCTCTAACAAAAACCCTTTCTAATCTAAAAACTAACCTGAATGAACTTCAATCTTAGAACTAAATCAAACTCACAATAACACCAGTTGGATTTTTACAATCTACAAGCTATTCGTAGATTTACTAACAACAGTTGACATAGTTGACATCTAAGCAAAATCTGATAATAGAGGACAAGCATGCGAAAATGCATTGGCGCCTCGCACTTACGCCTTGATGCAACCATGTAAGCTACTAGTGCGAAAATGTTTGATTATCCTCTCGGGAAGGCCCTGAGGCATTGGACGCCTCCTCGTTGATGCTCGTTCAACCATCGACAGCGCTACAAAAGCCAGAATGGTGCCATCAAACACATGGTGATCAGCTGTCCACGATTTGACTACCTTCTTCGTAACTGGGCGTATTCCAATGTTCGCCAATCCCACACTTCGCAGCTTCTTCCCCGGTCAACCCGGACAAGTTGCTGGGCTTGGCATCTTCCGCCTTTATACCGTTGAATAGGATGACAGTCTTACAAGGACTACCGGAAAGGTGTTGCACCTTTCATTGCATTGGGGTTGCGATGAGCAGGGTTCATCTTAGCATTGTTGTCCGCAGAGTTCGCAAGCTCACCCATGGTCTTCCGAAGCCCGCCAGGGCAGTTGACAAAGAGACAGAAAGTCTCATGGCGCATCGCGAGAGAGACGTGAAGTGGTCTTTGTTCTTTTCTTTGCACTCAGCTGAGATCAGGCCGGCGCTCAAGACGGTCAAGCTTGCATGGTCAGAAGGGAACACGCTTAGTGTAGAGGCTGTCAGAGTGCAAGTTGGATGATGCCATCATGCCGCTTGTCGGGCTTTCCATTCTAGTTCGCTGATGCCTGATCTGCTGCTTCACCCTTTGCATGATCAAGATGCCGGTCCATTCAGTACTGAATGTTGTCCGAGGCTCAGAAGGTAAACCAATAAGACCATTCCCTAGGCTTCAGAACATCCTCAGCCGCAGCTGGCGGATCTTGGCAGCCGAAGCTCGAATGCAAATAAGTTTCTTGTCAGCTTTTGAACTCTCGCGGGCGGGCAAAGCCTCTCCCAGTCTTAGGCAGCAGCTGGCACCAGCATATTCCTAGCTATCGCTTCTTGTCAAGCATCGGTATGTCATGCAATCCAGGAAAACAAAACGTCTTGTGACTGCACTTAGGTTGTTCTGTTCTACCGGATGGTGAGCATTGCCAACAGCCATAATCCCAGACCAAGCTTTGTGGTAGCCTTGATTCTGACTGGGTTCAGGAGCTTTGACTATGCTGATTTGGGTCTTCGCAGCCATTGACACAGCCGACACTTTAGCTACTGCTGGAGACCCTTTGTTAGCCAGGACTGGCTTGAGGGAAGCTGTGATAGATGCAAGATTGAGTTGCTGCGAGCTGCGAGGAAGCTCGCATTCTGGGCACTGGCAATGCTTTGGTCTGCTGTGGTGCAGACGCCAGTCATGGGAGCTGTGCTGAGGCGTTAGCTGGTTTGAGGGTGCAGGGGCAAAATACTGAACACCTGGAGCAGGTTGCTCACTCCAGTTGTGTTTGCTCTTCTCCTGGTGGCCAGCGAGACAATCTTGCGACGAGCCTCCTGGCATGCTGTCAAGACCCTGCTGCGGAGATCTACGGCAGGTCAGGTCCGGAATGCCTGAAAACTCATTGCCCCGTGCCTGAGGTAGTGCAGCCCTTGCTTGAACTTCTTACAAGACAGCTGGGTCGGCTCCTGCGTGAGCCTTAGCGAAAGCTCAAATAACCTGAAGATCCTGAAGCATATGGCAAAACTCGTCGGTGACCTGTGAGGTCTTGTGTCAGCCAGAGAACATCAAGCATGGCAGCAGGGCTGTGCAATCTGCCGATGTTTCTTCTCAGGCTTCGGACTTGCAGGATTTCTTGCCCATGTGGCCCGTGGAAGGAAATTCAAGGTTTGTTTGGCTCTTCTGTTTGCAGGCGCCTTTTGGCAAGGCCTTCTAGGCTGGCCTGAGAAACTCCCATATTGAGTCATGTTTTGCTCTGAGTAGTCTTTGTCTTGAAGGTTGCTTGCACTCAGCTGGTGGCAGGCAGACTCGCTCATCGCAGCAAGAGGAATCTACTGTTCACAGAGAGAATGGTGGCGGACAATTGCAGCTACCTGGCCTCCAGCCTGAACAGCCTGATCAGAAGCGTGAAGAAGTGGCAGAAGCATCCAATGCGGGTATGGACTCAAGAAGGACAAGCATGACAAGCTGTTCAAGCATACAGGCAGCACCGGATGGCCACGAACCAACAGCGGCAGATGCCCCGGTGGCCATGGAAAGTCGAATAGCTTCGCCCGAAGCTCACAATCAGACAAGTCCAGGATTATCTACCTCACCAGTGGGGATGAGACACAGAGGCAAAAAGAGTCGCCGAAAATAGTCCGATGAGAGCTCCTGTGGACACAACGGCCTCAACAGCATCATGGAGGGCAGCGATGGTGCGGCCACGATGGCCACGTCAGGCAGATCAGCATAATCTACTTCATGTTCGCAAAGCACTGATCGACAACGTGGCGGCAAAGTCTCTTGAGATCAGAAACCCATATCCCGAGGGTTCGGAGCACAGATGAGCACGGGCAATTCGTCGCGGTCGACTCTGCGAGAAATAGGGAAACAAGGGCCGGGAACCTCACGGAGCCTTCGATCTTACTGTTTGTTTTTGTCTTGTTTCTCATCTCGAGTCTTTATGTGGATTTGGCCACTCAGATCGGTTTGCTGAATGCAAGCTTAACACATTGCATTTCCTCAACACAATACTTGACCACAAGCGTTTTCAGAATGTGTGCAACAGACGCGTTGCAGAACGCTGGTAGCGTCAACATCTGAAAGAGTATTGTGAGCCATGGGTCCAACTTGGGTGAGCTGCGATGCTGGAAAGGCCTGATGCCAGAGACTCATGGCTGGGCTTGTCTAGGGGTGTGGTGCGATTAGCTGGTCTTTCGCCGTGGCATAATTGTGTTTGCCTGGCGCAACAGGGCAAAAATCATAAGCCAAGCGACAGAGCCTGCGTATTCCAGACCATTAAAGCAGATGATATATCGTATCAAGACATATGCAGATAATATCACGAGACGCAGTGCCAGATCCCACGGCACCTGCGAGACGCCCTATGACATGAATAGATGGATGAGGCACTCTCAGGCTACAGCCTTGAAGCCTCTGCCCTGTCAAACAGAGCCCATCGCCTCAAAGCAAGAACCTCGAAGTCCAAACTCTCAAATTGGTCATCTCCGAGCCCCAACCTCTGAAATCAAGTGCCCCAGATCTAGGACAGGAACCTCTCAAATGAAGAGGTCTTGCTTGTTTGTCCTGCTGCATTTTCTTGGCAGGTCTTTCAAACTCTGGGTCAGTGTTGCGCAGAAGCCAACAGGCGCGAGTTGGTTGCAAGAGCTGCCGAGAGCGAAGACTCCGAAGAGGCCTGGAAACAGGCATCAGTTACATTGTGGTCTTTGGCGCTTGCTCAATACAAGAGCAACTTCGACGCAAAAGAGGGATCGGTCCTACCAGTGATGACATTGGCAATAGACTCACGTATGCAGAAAGCAGGCGGAGGGACTTCCAGCGGAAATTGGGCAAGTGGGGGGGAAGAAGGTGCTCAAGCATCTCTGGACAAGGCACGCGACGCCCAAGATGTTGCCAAAGAAGCTCAATCGCTTCTCAATCTCGCAGCTATAAAGGCTTCAGCATGGGCCGCTTCCCAATCCAAGTCCTCTGAGTTGCGCCCACTTGGTGATTTGCTGCAGAAGGGTCTGACGATCTTCGAGAAAGAAAAGGACTACAGCGGCGAAGCAGTCGCTAGCAACATGCTTGCCAACTTTTATATCTTGATGGGACAGGCCAAAGACGCCGTGAGGATGGCAAAGCAAGGACTTGCTGCCGCTCGCCAGGGCGGTCAAGGGAGAGTTCAGGAAATTCCCCTGCTCCACACCCTGATGGCCGCAAGTTTCCTCCGAAACGATCCGGATGAAGCCCTGCGCATAAGTACCGAAGTCGCCCAAATCTGCCGGGACTCCAAAGCCTCGGCAGTGTGTGGACTGGCGGATGCTTGCACAGCACAGGTGCATCTTGCCAACGACGAACAGGGCCAAGCTCAACGGCTTGCTGAGGCGGCGCTGAAGGCCGTCCAAGATGCCAAGGATACGGATAGTGAGATTCTTGTGCTGGGCACCCTACAAGAGATTGCCTTCGCAATCGGAAAGCCCGTCTCAGCGCTGAAGGCCGCGCAAGAATTGTTAGAGAGGGAGCGCCGGCGTGGCATCAAGGAAGCAATTGCGAGGGCACAGCTCTTGGTTTCCATTTCGGATACCACTGCGGCCTCGTCCAGTGACCTGGCTCGACAAGCCAAGGAACAGTTTGCCTCTATGAAAGATAAGGTGGGTGAAGGCCTTGCGCTGGTGTCTTTAGCCAGAGCCCTCTTCTCCTCAGCCAAGACCGGGGAAGCCACAGGCGCCGCAAAGGAGGCCATGGCATCCTTTGAGGCCTCCGACCTACCCGCGGGTCAGGGCTTTGCGGGCTGCTTCCTGGCACTGGTGGAGGGTCGTGAGGACAGTGCTGCGTTACAAGCATAAGCCAGCTTGGGCCCTCCCCATCCCACTGCTGCTTGGATGGGAGTCACCTGCAGCTCTCACAGGATCCGGTGGCAGCCGAACGTCTGGCTCGAGAAGCTTTGTGTGCTTTCCAGGCCTCGGCCCCAGCCTGCTGTCAATTTCCGTTTGCCTTTTGGATGCTGTCAGCAATGCCTCTGATGTCCTGAAAGTACTGCGAGGATGCCCGTCACCGAGTCGGACAAGCCTTGGCGGAGCTGCTGATAAGGACCATGAAGCGTGCTTCTGCAGTGTTTGTGTGTGTGTGTGTGTGCAGTTTTCCTTTCCGACCATTTTGAAACATGCGGGTGCAGACACCTTGGCACTCTCACGGTTTTAAGCTATGCCCCTGTCGTAGCCTTCACCCTTCTCCTCGCAATCTTGGCCGTCTCGGCATCCCCTCAATTTACGGCATGTGATACCCTTCAGACTTTGCATGGACCAAAGCCCTCGGTGGAAGCCGAAGGGCATCTTTGACGTCCAAGCGCTGAGGCTTCCAGATCTTAGGCCAGCTTTCATTGGTCAATGCAGCAAGGCTGACAATGTCCCGGGCTCAAACCTTCCCCGCTGTTTCCTGGACTGCTTTCGCATACTGTGAAAGACTCAGATTGTCCATGTTTGTTTGCAGTATCACCAAGCTTCCAAAGTGCAAGGGCTGAAGGCTTTCCAACTTTGGGCAGCAATGCACAGACTCTTCAACAGTCGATCCCTGTCCGGATCGATAGTTTTTGATTTTAAGGCCTGTCGGCCTTGATACATCGTATGAAACAGCGGTTGAATTTCCGTTTTTTTTACTAGCCCGCGATTCTCTGCATCTGAACAACTATCCTTCGCTGCTGTAGCTAGAGTTGCCAGGAGGTCTCAGCAGCTCCGCGAAAAGCCATCAGAGTGCAAGATAGCTCCTTGACAGAAGCAATAGGAAAGCATGAGGAACAACAAGTATGGCAATCCCACACCTGCTTCCAAGGTGGTTGACGACTTTGCTGTAGCACACGTGGAGATCAGCGGTGTCTGTAGCTAGCTTGCATTAAGGGGTTCAAGCATAAGATACATTATCATGCGGAGTGTTGCCCTCACAATAAGCATCAATAATCTGGTCAGGGATTTGCCTTTCCACTGTCACTGCTCAATCCCATACATATGGGTGCAATGCGCACAACTATGCTCCACCCTGACTTGTAAATTGTGCCTTCTGCAGCATGGATGCTTCTAATGCTTGTGGCGAAAAACTCCTGAAGGCGCATCTGCCTGCTTTGCTTCGCTTAACCCCGTCCTGTTTCATTTTGGTAGCGTAGTGCGAGGGCGTAATAAGTCTTTGGGTTTCGCTGTTTCTGCCTGCTAACTGAGCTGCGGCAATAGCAGTGCTTACGCAAGCGAGTCTTCTTCTTCCTCCGCCGAAAAGGGTCTTTGCGTTGCGCTGTTGACCACACCATGATATTCATGAGGGTCCCTCTCAGGTACTTTACCTGAAAGCTTGTGGGGCGGCCCCGGCCCGATAGGCCCTTCAAGCAGGCCACCCCTGGACATAAAACTGGTTTGAATAGAGTCAAGTGTCGCTTATGCTCGGCTGGCAGCCGCATGGTGACGACTTGGGATGCGACATAAGAGCAGCGAGGCATCAGGCCAAGACCTGTATATCACCCACTACAACTAAATGGCCAGTGGGGGGGGCCTAGGTGCCCGTGTCCATTATATTTGGCCTTTTTTAACTTCACCCTGTGTGAGCAGGAAAATAATGGACAGAAAACGTCCTGAGGGTCCAGCATGAAAGCTTCCGGCAATCGTTGTTTTTTTGGGGGGCTTTTATGGGGTGGGATGGTTTTTAGGGTTCTCGAGGGCATATATATACAGAGAGAGCAGTCGAACGTGCTGCAGCAGAAGTCTAGATGTTTCATGAAGCGGCATGTTGTAGGGGCCAGAAAAACTGGATTTAAGCGATGTAAGGGAGCCCAGGCGTAGAATCAAATTCTCGACTCTTTTGGCGGGCATGTTTTGCGGGAAGGCCAAGTTCCTAGCGGCAGTGTTCGGCTCAGCCGTATATAATTATCCAGGCCCGCATATTAAACGCATTGCTTGCTTTATAGGGGCATGCGCGCTTTTCCGCTGTTGCAGCAGCACTGGAAGTGGCGCGCGCCAGTAGGGGACGGCGCGCACTTCTGGGTCCAGGTGTTGGAGGTAGCTAGCCATAGAAGTTCAAAAAGGCACACGGGATGCTGGGGCCAACATATCTCTAGCAGTGCTTTGGCAGGCCCACGCAGGCCCAGAAAAACCAAGCATGTCAGCGCACGTCGATTTTTTTTCTGCTGCGGCCTTTGCACTTGCCTGAACCATGGGCTGGACTGTCATCTACCGTGTTGCGTTGAAACCCCCAAATCCGGCAAGCCTTGCCACTTCTGGAAGAATCTTGTTGATGAGGGATCCAACCTCCACGTGAAGTGCTGATCCCCAGGAGGCTTATCAAAGGTCTTGATTAGGAGTCTTAAAGGGTTTAGGGCGCAGTCTCATTGACGATGCAGAAACGGATATCTGATTAGTGTTTTTTTTGAGCAGAGATGTATGGTAGTTGCCCAAAATAGGGGACCCCGTTATAGACCCCAAAATACTATAGTCCTTATCATGGGGACCCCCAAAAAGTTCGCCTAATTTTGGGAACCCCCTTATATGAGGGCATCGGGTTTAGATTATAGGGTTCAGGGTTTAGGGTTTGAGGGTCGGCCCGGGACGCCTGAGCCGGCCTGTGCGGCCGGGACCACGGGAGGGTCTGAAATGGGTGGCCCTGGATCCCTAGGACCCTAGAAATCAGACCTTGTTTCAGGGTCTGAAATCTAATACTAGGGTAGCCCTTGTAGTAGCTGACGGTATGGCTCCCGAGTCATCCCAGAACCATTCTCTAGGAGATCCTAGAGATACTTTAAAGGTATATCCGATATCCACCGAGAACCAAGGAAGAGCCTGGAAAATGGACAGGGCGAGGGTGGAGGGTAGCCGAAGCCCTGCACAGGCCATGCTTTTCCTGACCTTCCACCCTCTCCCTGTCCACTTTCCGGGCTCCTGACCGTCCCGCAAATTCTCGAGCTTAAATGTATGAAATCGTAGCAGTGGCACAGCCCGCACTCGTGTGCTGAGCTTGGACAGTGCTGTGTGCAAAGCTGTTTTGCCCGTCCATGGAAAAGTCATGCCGGCCTAGGATGTGTCATGGGGGATGGCACGCTGAGAAATTCCTGGACGAAGCCTGCGCCATCCCACACCTTACAAGCCTAGCTCCCTAGAGGATACTGGAGACAAGGAACCCCTAACATAAACTGGGCGATGGTGCGCAGCAGGGTCTCAGGCGCTGAGGCCACACCGAAGCGTCCGAAGCCCGGAAGCTTAAAAAAAACCACGAGCCCGACAGTGTGTCTGTATGCATACAAGCACAAAAAATCCAAGGGCTGCAAAGCGCAAGCTCGTAATTCCATGAGGCCCCAGCTCTCAGGGAAACAGTTCGCTGGAATATAATTATCCACAAGCGAAGATTTTTTGGCATGCCCTCCTCAATACCCTTAGCGCTTTAGAGCGTGTCTTGCAACATATTACTTCCGAGTAGTGTAACTTTCTGTGTCTGAAAGTTTATGTAAGCAGAAAACCTTGCCAAACGATAGCCTGAAAAAATGAATCCCAAGTAGAGAAGTAGCGTAGAGGAAGTAACAGCTTTTCAAAGGGCTATGCAAAGATACCCTCAAAGAAATCCCTGCCCATTTTGTCGGTGTTTTCACGATTGAGACGATCCCTCCATATCTTGATAAAACCTATGCAAGACCATCACCATTCCCGGGATCCCGTATATGGCATCTTGGGGACCCTCAGAAAATGGCCTGTCCATTTTCAAGGTCCGACCCCCTGAGTGGATGGGTGATACCTGTGTTAGGCACAGTAGTGAAGGCTTTTGGCATCACAAAGCACTGGCGCTCAATCATAGGTTTGTTGGCCACCTGCACCGAGCCGCGCAAACCTTCCTTCCTATTCAATCTATTCTTCGCTTCCGTGATCGCCGCTGGTGGAATGTGGAAATGAGTCATCCAGCCGGGTTGCGCCACGACACCAGATTTTCACCCTTCACGCGTTGGGATGAGCCATACTCGCTGTACTGGCAAAAGCATGCGGAAACTATGAGAAACCTTGCCTGACCTTGTGAAAGCAAGATGAAAGCCGCTGGATTGCACATTGGATGGAGTGCCAAAGCTGGATTGCCCGCACCGACAGGTAGTGAGGATGATGACCCTCAGGACCCGTGAAGCACGCCTCCAATCAGGACCAGTGAAATGGGGTGGGCGTATGCCTACGCCCTCTCTTCAAGATCTTGAGAACTATAAGAAGGTTGAGAGGCAAAGCACCTTTGACCTTGCCCGAGCTTACGGAAAAGTTCCGCCGAAGTCTCGCCCCAAGCGAAAGATTGCTAAGCTGCAGGGAGCCGATGCGGATGGCAATGAGCAGGGGATGCCTCAGGAGATATCTTCAGGTTCGGTGCCAGAGAGCCTCGCGGATGACAACCTGTCTGCTGCTGCTGCTCTGCCCGGTGTGCGGGTGAAGCTCGAGCCGGAAGACGCGCCGAGGCCCAAGTCCACGTGCGTGACCATCCTTGCAGGAGAAGTCACCCTTCAGAGCCGCCCGTTCCTCTACCGCCCGCTGGCGTGAGCATGCCGCCTCTTGTGAGCCTCAATGACTCGAGCCAGCTGAACCAGTGGAGGTTGCAGAGACAGTTAGCCTGCTGTACATGGATTACTTCCATCCGAATCAGGAGCATTTGACTGTGCCAACCACTCCGCTACCCGCTCCTGAACATGATCGTGCTGTGAACCCGCTGCGCCGCGATGCTTCTGTGGATGCCGTTGATCTCATGAGTGATGGCGAAACAACTGTGAGAGCTGAATCACCGCCGCCTGTGACACTGCCGTCTACCATGCCTTCCTTGCCTAGCCCGCCGCTGGCCAGAGCTGCCTCACTGCCGCCTCATCCTGATGACGTACCCGTTCCTGGGCCTGCCCTTGGATCTACCATTGCCACCTTGCCAATTCCCTCGCCCAGCAATGAACACGATGTTATCGCAGCGCTTGTGAGCAACCGTGACACCTCTGTTAGCCCAATGAATGCACCTGCTGATGAAGGGGCGCTGCCTGCCCCCGCCAATGTGCTGGGGAGTGAGGCCGTCATGCTTGATAGTGACGATGCGGGGCTTGTTGGGCCGAGTGACTGCCCTAGTCATTCCAACCGGGTCGCTTTAATTTCGTGGACGGTTGGTTCGGAGTTCCGTAGATAAAAACCCTCTCCTGTTCGTGCCGTGCGAGTTGCAGGCTATTGAGCAGCACAAAAAAAGGTTTGCGGCAAAATCACACGCATTCGCAGGTTTCTGCACACATCGGTTTTGTCGCCCAAAAGGATGTTCATTGGCTGTATTTCTCCATTTCCCTGGTGTGTGCGCATAGTTTGTACTTGCTTGTTCCACATATTTGATACTCCCAAATGGTCCTGAAGACAGAAAAATTCTTGTCCCGAAGACAGAAAAACACAAGAATTCTTGC